CCTCCCTCTTTCTCCCCTCTCCCCATCTCTCTGTTCCCCCCTCCCCATCTCTCAGTATGGCCCCCTCTTTCTTAAGTCTGAGGGGGCCGGCCGCGTTTCATGCTGGAGCCGCCGGACCGGGTGGCAGCCTCGCCGGTCCGGCGGCATTCCTCTCAATAACGCTGAAGGAGGAGGAGCATGTTTCTCTGTCATGCTCCTTTGTGGTTCCCACATCCTGTGCTGGGAATTGTGGGAACCGCCCCTGCTGCTGACCTGACAGTTGTGCAGAAAACCATCACTGACACCCTCCATAAGGAGGAAAAGTCTCAGAAGGTAATTGAGAAGGAAGTTGGATGTTCCCAAAGTGTTGTATCAAAGCAAATTAATAGAAAGTTATGTGGAAAGGAAAAGTTTGGAAGAAAAAGGTGCACAAGTAGCAGGGATGACCGCAGCCTGGAGAGGATTGTCAGGAAAAGGCCATTCAAAAGTGTTGGGGACTTTCACAAGGAGTGTGTCTATTGCTGTTCCATTTTGGAAGATTGGTTAAATATTTTGTTGGCAAGTCTATTGCTGTTCCATTTTGGAAGATTGGATAAATATTTTGTTGGCTTATGTATGGGGTTGCCTTTGGGATCCTATTGTGTATCAGCCAGGTCTTGTTATATGTTGCTAATATGTTGCAACTTTAATCAGTGGCACTTTGCTCCTGGTCAGGCAAGTCATAAGTTTGCATTGTGCGCATGCGCACGTCAGTGACTTGACGCGCATGCGCCGAGTGCCGTTCTGGTGCACATGGCTGGTGCCTTTGCCCCGTTGACGCTTGCGCGTCTTTGCGCATGCGCATTTTATGTATGGGGCGGTACATTTCGGCATTTAATATTTGATGGCGAACCGACATTTGTGGAGCTTGAATAAATAATAAATAATTAATAATGAACATATGACTATTATATTGTCATTAGTTTTGGATTATTATGTTTCTTTATCTATTATTATTAATAGTCTTTGGAGTAATTTCACGATCATGTGATTAGTATACTTCAATTGGCCATTTGGTGTCACATGGTTATTATCATGTGATTTCACCTGGAAATGCAGTTATTTAAAATCTTCTGCTGCTCCATAAGGTAAAAAGATACTACTGAATACAGCTGTAATACTATTTAACTGATTAGAGTTTAATGGTTGAATTTGTGATATGATTGGCTGATACCCTTTGATCTCTTTGACACCCCCTGATAATGTGATTACTATTGGAGAGCTAATTAATCTTTTAATTAGTGTTATTATTATCACCTGTTTATAACATATGTTTGATAATATACCACATGTTTTTTCACTTATTTGAATATTGTATACACCTATATATTGTGTTTTTGTATGTGCTACATTAGCTTGAAAAAAGCCCTGTTGGGGCTGAAACGTTGCTTTGTAGTTCCTGGTCCAAATAAATTGCCTTAAGAATTGGAAACTGTTGGAGTGCCTTGATCATTTTCTACAAATTTCACAAGGAGTGGACTGAGGCTGGAGTCAGTGCATCAAGAACCACCACACACAGACGGATCCTGGACATGGGCTTCAGATGTTGTATTCCTCTTGTCAAGCCGCTCCTGAACAACAAACAACGTCAGAAGTGTCTTACCTGGGCCAAAGAAAAACAGACCTGGTCTGTTGCTCAGTGGTCCAAAGTCCTCTTTTCTGATGAGAGCAACTTTTGCATCTAATTTGGAAACCAAGGACCAAGAGTCTGGAGTAAGACTGGAGAGGCACACACTGCAATATGCTTGAAGTCCAGTGTGAAGTTTCCACAGTCTGTGTTGATTTGGGGAGCCACGTCATCTGCTGGTGTTGGTCCACTGTGCTTCATTAAGTCCAGGGTCAACACAACCGTCTACCAGGAGATTTTGGAGCATTTCATGCTTCCTTCTGCAGACGAGCTTTATGGGGATGCTGACTTCATTTTCCAGCACCTGCCCACACTGCCAAAAGCACCAAAGCCTGGTTCAATGACCGTGGGAATACTGTGTTTGATTGGCCAGCAAACTCGCCTGACCTGAATCCCATAGAGAATCTATGGGCATTGCCAAGAGAAAGATGAGACATGAGACCGAACAATGCAGAAGAACTATTGAAGCATCCTGGTCTTCCATAACACCTCAGCAGTGCCACAGGCTGATAGCTTCCATGCCACGCCGCATTGAGGCAGTGATTGCTTCAAAAGCACCCAAACCAAGTACTGAGTCCATATGCATGCTTATACTTTTCAGAGGTCTGATATTGTTCTGGGTACACTCCTTGTTTTATTGATTGCAGGTAATATTCTAATTTACTGAGATTGTGGATTTGGGGTTTTCATGAGCTGTAAGCCATAATCATCGCACTTGAACTATCTTGCTTTGCATGTAATGCGTCTATCTCATATATTAGTTTCCCTTTTTACGTTGCATTACTGAAATAAATGAATTTTTGCACGATAATTTTTCGAGTATCACCTGTATAGTAAAATTCCAAGTTTTGTTTATGTTTTATTTTGATGAAAACGTTTACATTTGGCTTAATCCTTAAGGGCTTAAACTCCTTCAATGTATAGAAACATAGAATGTGACGGCAGATAAGAGAATGGTGTGGCCCCTGCATACTATGTACCAGGCTGGTGGAATGGGTTTTTGGTAACAGGATCATCTGTTTTCATTTAGTTTGCGATCCAAGCAGAGTAGCAAACCCATAGATTACATTGTTAAATTGATTAATACAATATTTTCCTGCCAAGTGCAAGTATAAATATAACAAAGAGAGACAAATATCCAACGATTCTGAAGGGAGGTCACCTGAGGGACACAGAGAGATTAACTGACTAACAAATACTGTTTACCTATGTAAGAAAAATAGCGTTTACATTTAAAAAATTTTTTTTACTAAACGGCAAAATAATAAATCAATTACAAATAATGTACCAAATAAATTGCACTAATTTTACTTATGTTTCTAGTAAATAGTTATGTAATATTCTGTTCCATATGATTGTTAACATATAATTTTATATTGCTTCATGAAAACCACATTAACACCTTTTAATATGTGTTTCACGTGACACACCAATTTCACAATTAAGTGAATGAGAGATTAGTGACATCTAGTGGTCATTCCAAGTTAAACAACATTAATTACATCACATATTTCAAACACATTTTATGTAAAGGTTTGGTTTTCTCAGCAAAAGAAAAATATACTTGTTGGAAAACACAAAATGACAGAAGAGACAGACATGGCGTGCTGAACTGACTGGCCAAAATAATGGAAATGCAAATCTCTAACAAAAATATTTGCATCCATTTGGAGAATTTGGAGGTTGAGGCAACACCTTTAACTCATTGTCATGTTCCACCAAACCATTCCTGAACAATCTTCAGTGTGGCAGTGTGCATTATCCTGATTAAAGATGCCACTGCTATCAGGGAACACTATTGCCATGTTCCCATAGAACATTTTGCTGTCATCTCTTCCTCAGGTAAACAACATACATGCAACGGGCCTTCCATCTAATCTAAAAGAAAACGTGATTCACCAGACCAGGCAACCCTCTTCACTGTTCCATGTTCCAGTTCTGATGCTCACATCCTCATTGACGGGAAGTTCAGTGTAGGACAGGGGTCATCATGGGTACTCTTACCAGTCTGCGGAAATTGCATGGACATACTGACATTCATATACATTCATATGTACTAAGAATGAAGTACACACATACATTAATGGACACATATACACAGACACACACATTAATATACATAACTCATACATATTCACACACATTCAAATACATACACAGACTGATATAGACAAACACACAATGTATACAGACACACATCCTTGAATACACACATTCATACACATACAAATCCACACAATAACATTCATATGCACACTCATAATTACATCCATAATTTGCACACTCCAAGCTATTAATTAAACAGCGGGGAGGTACTCTCCCGGATTACTGAAAAATGGGATTGCCAGATCTCTTCAATATGATCCACTTCAAACAAAGCAGCAAAAATATTAGACAAAAAGCATGGTGCCTTCTAAAATCTATAAACCCAAAGCACAAATAAAAAAAGAATTATACAAATGTATATAACATGTATCTTCACTAGTTTAGTGGAATGAAATGTGTTGCCTTTGTATTGTACTGCCATCTAGTGGTGGAAATAATGATTTGTAATGGAATTAAAGGACCACTATACTGCCAGGAAAACATACTCGTTTTCCTGGCAATATAGTGCACTGACGGTGCCCCCACCCTCAGGGACCCCCTCCCGCCGGGCTGGATGGTGAGGAAAGGGTTAAATCTTACCTTTTTCCCAGCGCCGGGCGGGGAGCTCTCCTCCTCCTCTCCTCCTCTTCGGCTGAATGCGCATGTGCGGCAGGAGCTGTGCGCGCATTCAGCCTGTCTCATAGGAAAGCATTCACAATGCTTTCCTATGGACGCTGGCGTCTTCTCACTGTGATTTTCACAGTGAGAAGCACGCAAACGCCTCTAGCGGCTGTCAATGAGACAGCCACTAGAGGCTTTAGAGGCTGGATTGACCCATTTATAAATATAGCAGTTTCTCTGAAACTGCTATGTTTATAAAAAAAAGGGTTAATCCTAGAGGGACCTGGCACCCAGACCACTTCATTAAGCTGAAGTGGTCTGGGTGCCTAAAGTGGTCCTTTAAATGCCTGTCTTTCTAGCAAAAAAAAAAACAAAATAGCAAAGAAATACAAAATGCAAAGCAAGAAACAAAGCTAGGTAACAGGTATGCACAAAGTATAACACTGTCTTTCAATAATTCTACTGGAAAAAGGGCTCAGAGCAGAAGGAGTGCAGAATATAAACAGATAACACATAGGTGCATCATAGTAAAATAGATTAATTGAATAAAGCATTCCCTAGGTGGTTCAATTTAGAGTGAATTCCACGGTACTGAATTCCACATCCCCCCTCCCGAGAAAATAGTAAAGCCGACGCTACCCCCTGCCGGCCCATCCTCGCGCCAGCCCTGCAGTTTGCCTTCACGGACCGGAGGGGAGATCAGTGATCTCCCTCCTTGGCCCACACAGGCACATTGCTGGACGGCTGGCAGTGGAGCGAGAGAGGACCTGCCGGGTTCTCCTCTCACGAGCACGGAGCGTTGCTGCGGTTACCATGGCAACGCTCTGTTCTTGTGAGAGTGAACTCTAGTCTGAGCTGCAGGCTAGAGTTCACTCTCACCACTGGGACCACCAGGGTTTGGAAGAAAGCAATGTCTCCCCTTCCCTCAGCAAAGGTAAGAAGGGAGGGGAGACATTAACTATATTTTAGTAATTATTTAATCATTTAAAAAAATATCTTTAATCTGCCCCCCTATCCCCTCACACAAACTATAACACCCTACAAACTGCACCACACACAAACACACTGCCTCCCTTACACACACAGCCCCCCTTACACACACTGCACCACACACAAGCACACAGCCCCCCTTACACACACTGCACCAAACACAAACACACTGCTCCCCCTTACACACAGCCCCCCTTAAATACACTGCACCACACACAAACACACTGTCCCCTTACACACACTGCCCGCCTTACACACACAGCCCCCCGTTACACACAGTGCCCCCATACACTCAGTGCCCCCCTTTCACACACTGCCCCCCTTACACACACAGCCCCCAATACACACAATGTAACTACACACACACTAACCCCTCATAGACACATTTCATCACTCACACAAAAACACACTGCCCCCTTATACACACACTGCACCCCTCACACACATACACACTGTTCCCAATACACACACTGCACCCTTTAGACACAAACACACTGTTCCCAATACACACACTGCACCCTTTACACACAAACACACTGCTCCCAATATACACATTGCTCCCCCATACATACACTGCACCCCTCTCACACACGCACTGCCCACCCCGTGCACACACACTGCCCCTCCATACACATACTGCACCCCTCAAACACATACACACTACTGCCCCTATCCCGGCAGACCCCGGGTAAGTTATCAAACTGTTTTTTAAACGATTTGACTACTTACTCTGGGAGGGCGCCACGGCACTCCTAGCACCAAAACCACTACAGAGAGCTGCAGTGGTTATTGTGTCTGGATTGTTTCTTTAAATGATGTGCCAGTGCCCCTCCTGAGATTAGGTTCTGGATCTGCCACTGGTCACAACCATAATCACATGACTATGGTTGACAAGGAAACCAATAAACAGGAAATGAACACATATCTACACAATATATATGAAAAATAAAAAATGAGTCCAAACATGATCATAAGTACTAAAAATGTAAATATAATTTAAGTTTAAACAAAAAAGAAGTTATATCACCTAGATTGTGTGAAATGATGTCAGAAATTGATAGAAATCCATATTTCTTGTGGAACATCTATGTGTTCCACTCAAGGTTGAATAAAGTCTCCTAATACCCCAAGTGTCCAGCAGAAATGAAATATAATATAATTGCAAGATGCACATGCGTCCACACTATAAGATTGGCCACAAAAACAAATTGATTAGTAGGTATAATCCGGACATGTTCCGGATTACAGTGTTTCGGTACAATGTTACAATGTTTTGGTACAAAATAAAGAGCTCTTAAAAAACGAAATACAAATTTGATTGGTCATCAAGTATGAAATACTTTGGTATAACGATATGCTCTGACCCAAACAAAATAATAGAAGCAAATTTCTTACCTCTTCTTAAACAAACGTCTAAACAGTTGAAAGATTGGGGAAAGATGGAATTCTCATTCTGGAGAAGAATAAATATTTTAAGATCATATGTTCTCCCCGTATGGTTATACCTTCTCCGTATGGTACACCTCATAGTCCCCAGTAGCTTTCTCTCTATGGTTCAGGCGGCATTTAGGAACTTTGTCTGGCGTAGTAAAAAAACGAGGATAAAACTAGACGGTCCTAAACTGAAACCTGCTCAAGGAGGACTTTCTATGCCAGATATACATGAATACCATAATGCAAGCATGTTGATGCATGCATTTTTTATGAATTTTGGACAATGGAAGTATCAAAAATGCCAATAGTTGGAAGATGTTTAATTATGGAGCACATTTTAAATAATTGGCAGAAATTTAGGAAGAAAATAAAGTTAAATAACAAAGTCCTAATAAATACTCCCCTGGAAAATTTAGCAAATGATATAAAATACATTAATCTGAGTAAATGGTATAGAAATGGCTTAAGGACAATAAGTGATTAACTGGTGGATAAACGTATTAAAACTTTGATTAAAATTTCTGAAAAAACACAAGAACTTAAAGGAGAATTTTTTTTAACTATTTACAAATAAAAGGAAATATTAGGAAACATTTATGCCTAGAACCTAAAGAGACAATTACAAAGATCCAAACAATCCAAAGAAAGATTGAATCAAAAGGCATGCTAGCTTGATGTAAAGAACTGCTAAGATTGGGGGAAAAATAAGCTCAATCAGGGCCGCAGAGAAATGGTAAAGGGACATACAAGTTAAAATTACTCAAAAAGAATTAACAGGAGCTTTTCAAAAAGTCTGTAAATCAGTAAGATGCCTGAATTTAACAGAGATGCAATTTAAGCTCAGTAACCGTATCTACCTGGCCCCGAGCCGGACAAAATCCAAGCAATCAGTAAGATCAAACTCCCACTGAAACCAGAATCTTACTTTCTATTTTTAAATTTTCCAAAAATGCCCAAAGCAGAGTATGGCATAGTAGTACATACTTTGCTAGCAGCAAATATCACAATAGCCAGAAAATGGAAATCTTGTATGTCACCACTATGGATTGAGGTTAAAATATGGAAATAGGAAGAGAGAAGTACCAAAATTGTATTCAGAAAAGGAATTATAAATGGGATCTATGGATAAAATCGATCCCTAAGTGAGCATGATAAACAAATAACCCAAGGATGAGAGGAGAAAATATTTAACCTCTCTAGGAGCTGTCCTGCCAGATATGAATGTTGCTTTATATGTTATCCCCTTCCAATAAAAATGGGATAGGGAATATTTGGAATGTTAGGCCCTACTGGAGGAGAGAAGTATTCTATATATTGATTGTTTAAAATAGAACTATATGTTTTGTATAGTCAATGTTTCTTTTATGTGTGTTTTTGTTCTTTTGTGTCCAATAAAAAAAAAAGGAAACAAATAAAAAATAAATAAATGAAAAAAAAGGCACTTAAATAATCTACAAGTGCCCCTCCCGAGATCAGGCTCTGGATCCGCCACTGGCGGTCGCACCCTATCAGTGCAACCTCGCTGATAGGCTGAGCTTACCTACTCGACGACAAGCCAGGAGCGGTCCCACTGGGATCTCTGTCCCCTCTGCTGCAAAGCAAAATGGCACAGACGACGCAGTCGCGACCATTTATAGCCCCCCCCGAGGGTCACAACCTTTCACATTCTGGGGTCAGAGGTCATGCTCTGACCAATCACAGCACAAGGAGGGATATTTAAATCCCTGAAGTTCCCTAGCTCATTGCCCTGTCGTGGTTTCAGTTTTTGGTTCCCGAGAGTGCGATTTCTTGTCTTGTATTTGACCTTCCCGGTATTTTGACCTTGGCTATCCTTGACTACTCTGATTTCTGGTTCCCTTGACTTGGCTTTCCATATCGTTCTCGTGTCTTTCTGGCTTCCTTGACCTTGGCTTTCCCTTGACCATTCTCTGTCTTTCAATGTATTAATTCTGCCATTCTAAGGACAGGTTTACGTTCTGTCCTTTTGCTATTCTGTCTATGTAGATATTACATAGTTCTGCATGCTGGACCACACTAGCAGTCGTGACAAAGGGTGATGGCAGTTGGCACCCAGACCACTTCAATGAGCTGAAGTGATCTGGGTGCCTAGAGAGCAACTCCACCATATGTGCATCTGATTACCCTTCGATTGATTGCATCTCCAGCATCTATCAGTGCTGTTTAGATACATTTTAGCGATGCTAACAGGAACTAAATGCCACCTGCTCATCAACTTAAATTGTAATTCCTTAAGTTTTAAACATTGAATAGCCCGATCCAATAGTTTCAAAGAATAATTTCCAATCTTATTGTAAAATGTAGATTTTGTCCCCATTTTTTTAATTGTCACTGGGGCATAATCTATCCTTAGTGTCTTTATCAAACGGGGACAGTCATCAGTATTTTGTAATCCTTCTGCCGAATCATATTATTCATGAGCTGGCTGGGTGTTCCAGTGTTACGTCTATCAAGATGTTTATTAAGAATGCCTTTTACTCTCAAATATTTAAAAGTTTCATTTTGATGCAATCTGTATTCAGTTTGTAAGTTAATCAGTGACTTTATCAAGATATATACTTTATTAAGATATAAATCTTCCGTTAAATAAGTAGTAAATACCAAAGGTAAAGATGAAAGAATTTTATTTTGTAGACCTAGTTTCTTTCCAGTCACTTTCCAACTGCATAAAATCTGACAAAGCACTAGGCTTCCATCTGGTCTCAAGGTCATCCTATTTTTATTGAGTGGATTCCTAAGTTATTATTATTATTATCATTATTATTATAAGTTATTTATCTATATATTTACTACATCCTGTTCCAAAGAAAACCAACCTTCCTTTGGACTCTCCCTTTTTTGTGTAATTATTGTGTGCATTAATATAGGTTTCTCCCTTTTTTTTTATAAGACTTGTAGACCTAGTCTTGGTTTCTTACCCAGCCATATACAACGATGGAAGGTCGATTGTATAAGTTCCAACCAGGGCATTGGAACCATAGAAGAAGCATTCTAAAGAAGCATTCTAAATGGTACATATATTACCAATTCCCCAAGGGTATGAAAACTTTTGAGCACAACTGTATGTGTTGTGTATGCCCATTCTAATTTTTTCACAGTCATAAAATTCCAGTGCATCTACGTGAGTATCGAGGGAAAGAAAAAAAATTACAGATTCAAACAAAAACGCATGTAATGCACCATAGCTATACAAACTATTGTGTATGGTGCGCACTGAGAAAGTGAGTCTATGGCAGTAGTGAGCATCTGTAGTGTGTGTCTCTGCATGATGCATTGTAAGACATGTGGGTATGGTATAGTCTCATTGTGTATGCGCAACAATATATAAGAAAACGTAGCTCAACTAGAGTGTACGACCCTTAACAAAGGGGATCCCAGGAGGAGGGGGGAGAAAAATATTAAGTGCAACGTCCACTCTAGGTGTAATGTAAGCATCCTATGGTGTAATTTCGTGGGTGTGGATGTGATGGGTTATTTATTTGGAGTCTTTAGCCCCCTCAGGTCTTTATATTGATTTTAATTTGTATATATATATATATATATATATATATTTATTTTTTTTACAATTTTTATTTTTTTTATATTTATTGTGATGGAGGTAGTCACCATCACTGGTAACATAAGATGGACACTTCAGTTAGATACCTGGATGACTCCTATGTTTGTTTAAGTCACCCTGTGCACACTGTAGGTGCAAGGTGTGTGTAATGTATGTGTATTATGTACTTATTGTTAATTGTTTGTGTGCTCTCCTGTCCTGCTGATGCCTACTACCAACTAGGTGGATTTGGATATGGAGCCTGTATAGCACCCTCTCTTGGTAGAAACAGCTATATGCACTAGCTGAATAGCAAGGTTTGTTAATTTAGAAATTAGATTTTCATATTGCTAATTCTGCAGACAGGAGAGATATATTTAGGGTTAATTAGTGTCTTCCCAACCCCCTTATGAATATGTCATTGTGTTATAATAACTTGCTATATGTTGTCTGCTATGATTTGGTTATTTGTATTTTATTGAAGTTGTCACAGCAATCTAAGTGTAATGAACAAATGGGCTTGTTTAAATAAAGCATTACATGTTAGCTCTATTTGGAACTGGGTGTCCTGTGTGGATTTTTAGGGATTCAAGTGACAGAGTCTTCAGATCTGTTGTTTTTTTGCACAATTCTTCTAGCCCTGGGATAAAGCAAGAGAAGTAGGCCTGAGAGATTACCCTTGTAAAATCACATTATAGGCAGTGCTCCGGATATTCGAAAGGCCTTTGATCAACAAAGCGTCTCCTCACATTTAAAAAAATACCACAACAAAGATCCTAGTGTTTTTACCTTTTTAGGGAAACAAGAGGTTAAAAGTTATTGGCGTGGAGGAAATTATATCCAGAATATAGGGAAAGAGGAGATGAAGTGGGTTCATAATTTGGAGACTTTAGAACCCAAGGGACTTAACATAGAGTTTGATTTGTATAATTTTTTCTAAAATATTTTTATATATTTTTACACTATTTTTATACGATCTTATATATTGCTGTGTATACCAATTAGGAATGTAGATTTAGCGATATTAATTAATATTAATGCCCCTCCTTTTTTTCTCCCTTTTGAGTTGGTATTTCTTTTATATATTTATACATTTTATTATATGTTTGCATTAGTATTTTTTTTTAATTATTCTGTCTTTCTTTTATATAATGTCTGGGTTTCTTTTATGTACTGTCTACTCTCTAAGATATACCATTGTTGTGTGATTTTCCTGCAAAACAGGGTTCAGGTGATATACCATAGTCTTGTGGACTTTAAACATTTACATAATGGCATGTAGTTATTCAGGTTTAAGGTTTCCAGGAAGGACCAATCACAAAGTGACTTTTAATGTATCACGCCTACTATAGCGGACTTAAAAAGTACAGGACGGACAAACTATGCGATCTGAAGAAGCCGACCAGGCAAAACGCGTCATCACATTCTGATACGTTCAACGTCATTACCTGGTCGTACGATGCTCAGGATCCCGGAAGAACACCCCACTGTGCCAATAGCCTGAAAACCGCAAGTGCCAGCCCTGAGTTGGAAAGACTAAGAAGCCAAAGTGTATGGACTACATCAGGGAAAAGAGCTGTATCACTGATATGTGATCTTTCATTTTATTTTATGGGAATAAAGAATTTTGTCGTATCGAGTTGCCGTCCTGTTTACCTGCTATACTACAGTCCTGATTTTAGGATCCAAGCTATTAAAGTTAGAGCAGACTTTTACTGCTCTCTCCTTGTGAGTTTATTAGATTCACTTATTTTACTGTAATATATGCTACAGAATTACACTATATATTTTCTCCTCTTGATTTTTTTTATGTATTTTGCTCCATCACATACCTGTGGGAGAATATTATGAATTTCCAATTTTAGGGGACTACTAAGTAAGTTTTTGCACTTGCACTTTCAATTATTGCACAATATTTTAACAATTTGTTTAAACAATATATGTCACTTTTTTCAGCACTTTATAATTGCAGTTTGTTGCACTTTATATACACTGTATAGTATTTTAAAGGAACAGCACACTTTTAAAATCTTGTATTGTAAAAATAGTTAAAGGACCACTCTAGGCACCTGGACCACTTCAGCTTAAGGAAGTGGTCTGGGTGTCAGGTCCTTCTAGGGTTAACCCATTTTTTTATAAACATAGCAGTTTCAGAGAAACTGCTATGTTTATGAATGGGTTAAGCCTTCCCCCAAAGACTCTAGAGGCGCTTGCGTGATTCTCACTGTGAAAATCACAGTGAGAGCATGCAAGCGTCCATAGGAAAGCATTGTAAATGCTTTCCTATGCGACCGGCTGAAAGCGCGCGCAGCTCTTGCCACGCGTGCGCATTCAGCCGAATGGGCGGAGAGGAGGAGGATCGGAAGAGGAGAGCTCCCCGCCCAGCACTGGAAAAAGGTAAGTTTTAACCCCTTCCCCTTTCCAGAGCCGGGCGGGAGGGGGACCCTGAGGGTGGGGGCACCCTCAGGGCACTATGGTGCCAGGAAAACGAGTATGTTTTCCTGGCACTATAGTGGTCCTTTAAACATGCTAATCTATTGTGATGGCCTAGATCTGTATAAATTATGATAGGCATACATTTTGAAAATGTGTTCCTTTTAATCTGTACCTTTTATATTGCATTCATACCAACTAACATTTTATATTACTGAATTAATAAATATATAAACATAAATTAAATATGCCACTCCTTCTTTCAATGTGTGGCACTTAATAATTTTACTATTTTACATTTTTCTATTTGGCAAAAATGTTTACTTGCCAACTAATATTAAAAAAATAAACAACAGGGGTGGGCGCAGCCAACAGTAAACTGAACCAGACTTGCTTGAATGGAGCTCCAAAACGGACCCGCTATTTCTATGATTTTGCCATGAGATACGACTACTTACCAACTGCCTGTCAACATCCCCACCCAGATAATGTTATGGGGCAAAAACACACGAAGTCCCAATGTCCGGATGACTCTGGTATGACCGACATCAGGCTTTCATTTGAAGGGCTTGTGGAGCTTTTACCACCTAAGATGGTGCCTGCGGCGCAAATTGAGGCTAAGGCCTCAGGAGATTCCCACGAGGACATGGAGTCTAGTGCCTCAAACAGATCTGAGGATGCCTACCAGGAGTCCGAGTCTGATGAGGACTCTTCTCCATCCAAAAAAGGGGACATGAAACGGCTTCTGCTGAATTTAAGAAAGTTGTGGAAGGACCTCAAGGAAACCCAGGCCGAAATGGGTATCATCTAAAAGTGGCTTGATGTAGTAGAAGCGAGGGGCAGATTAAAGAGATAGCCAGATGACAGAAATGAAAAGTCAAGGAGAAAACCTTACCAATCTGGAAGTATAATCAGTATATAAAACTCCAATAAACTTTAAATTGGAAATAAATAAATAACACTTCATTGAATAGGACACAAATACGTTTCTGTATGTCAAAATAAGCAAATACACTTTATTTTTTATTTTTTTTTACAAATGTTAGACACAATTTAAAAGCCAAGATTGGTCTCATGCACAGTAAAAAGAACTTTACTTTTTTACTGAAATATATATTTATGTTTTTATATACATATACATATATATATATAAATTTTATTTTTTTATTTTTTTTCACAGAAAGAAGTGCACTTGGATTGATTTTTCATACCCAAATCGATAAGAGATGGTAGATGCATTAAAGGGAATTTTATAACATGACAGGAGGCTTCGTATTTGCTTAAGTCTCTCTTTACTAGAACTCCACGGCAGCACAGAAAACAACCAATCAGAAAAAAAGTTAGGTACTATAAAACTCCCCTCCCCACACATCATTTCCTCTTTCTTTGCTGCTCCGCAGTCAGTACAGGTCAGAGTACCACTGCCTCCTGCTTATAGTTGGTGGCTTTGGGTTTTATTATGATTTATATTAATTATGCTTAGTTTTTTTAAGATTTCTGTGCCTTTTGGCTCTTCTTTGCTTCCCCTGGTTTTCTTTGGGATATTTTCTTTTACGTTGCGATGGTTTCATGGGGACATGGGGGTTCCTGGAGATACCTATTCAGTTTGCTCTCCCTTTGATTTCAGCACCCCCTCTCCCCCCCCATTTTATATCACAGATTGCTGTGAGTTTTGCTGACAGTGTATATCGCAGATTGCTGTGAGTTCTACTGACAGTGTATATCACAGATTACTGTGAGTTACAGGCAGGCCCGGACTGGCCATCGGGCATACCGGGCAAATGCCCGGTGGGCCGCGATGGTCGTGGGGCCGAGGCCGGCAGGGGAGATCACAGGATCTCCCCTGCCAGCCCGTGCAGGGCCAGCGCTACCCGAGCGCCGGCCCTGCTGTATGTCTCCATGGGCTGGTGGGGAGATCAAAGATCTCCCTCACCGGCCCAGAGGCATGGAAATGCGGCCGCCGGCTGGGGAGGGAGGGAGGCAGGAGAGAGGACCCGGCGGAGCTCTAACAAGCAGCTCCGCCGGGTCCTCTCGCGAGATTCTGAGCGTTGCCGCGGTTACCGTGGCAACGCTCAGATCTCGCGAGAGTGAACTCTAACCTGCAGGTTAGAGTTCACTCTCACCACTGGACCACCAGGGAAGGCAGCATGGTCCCTTCAAGGCTCCCCTCCCAGGCAGAACGGCTCCCTCCCCCTCCCAAGATAAAGGTAAGAAGGGAGGGGGAGGGGTAAACATAACTTTTTTTAAATTATTCATAAAAATATATATATATATTTAAAATAAATTCCATAACAGCCCCCTCACAAACAGCCCCCCCAGACACACACAGCCCCCCAGACACACACAGCCCCCCCAGACACACACAGCCCCCCCCAGACATACACACAGCACCCCAGACACACACAGCACCCCAGACACACACAGCACCCCCAGACACACAGCACCCCAGACACACACAGCCCCTCACACAGCACCCCCCAGACACACACACAGCACCCCCAGACACACACAGCACCCCAGACACACACAGCACCCCAGACATACACACAGCACCCCAGACACACACACATCAACACACACACAGCACCCCAAGATACACACAGCCCCTCACACACACAGCACCCCAGACACACACACAGCACCCCCAGACACACACACAGCACCCCAGATACACACAGCACCCCAGACACACACAGCACCCCAAGACACACACACAGCACCCCAAGACACACACAGCACCCCCAGACATACACAGCACCCCAAACACACACAGCACCCCCAGACACACACAGCACCCCCAGACACACACACAGCACCCCAAGATACACACACAGCCCCCTCACACACAGCACCCCCAGACACACACACAGCACCCCCAGACACACACAGCACCACAGATACACACAGCACCCAGACACACAAACATACACACACAGCACCCCCAGACACACACACAGCACCCCCAGACACACACAGCACACCCAGAGAGACACACACACATATATATATATATATATATATATTATATTATATTATATAAAATAACCCTCAGTGAGTTAACAGACAAAGAAAATTAGAAACCTAGAATGTGACGGCAGATAAAAACACCCTCACACACAGCACCCCTCTTACACAAACACACTGTGCACCTCACACATACAATACGTCCAAAAATATATATATATATACACACACACACACACACTACAGCACCCCTCACACTGCACCACTACACACATTACGCTCCAGATACACGCTAGATCCCTTTCCCTATATGCACTCTTAATCCTCTACACACATACACACACACACACAATCTTCTATACATACTCTGGGTCCTTTACACACTAGATCTCTTACACACACACACACTATATTCCTTGTAAGGAAAGACATACAACATTCTCTAAACACACCCTCTCTACAACCCCTACACACACACTACTGCCCGTATGCACACACTCGCTACATCCCCTATAACACTATGCCCCTATACACGCACTCTCTACAGCCCCTAGCAACACATATTACACCTATTTACACAATACCACACCACACTCTACATACAGGCAATCCCACAAGCAGGCGCCAAACACATGCACCATACACTTTCCTGGCCCTTTTGTCCTCTGGTATCCCACTTGTGGAGACACCAGAGACAATTTAAAAGCAAACACAGCGCAAGCATGTTATTAAATTTGCTTGCGCTGCGCAGAACAAATTCAGGGCCTTTTTCTAATGCCAGAGCTCTTCAGCAGGGCTCTGGGCATTGAACCAACATGCTCACTTTGAGAGGGGGCGTGCTTGTCATTAGTGATGACAAAACACACCCTCTCTGGCCCCGCCCCCTTCTTGGGGGGGCCGCTCTAATTGAAAAATGCCCGGGCCTAATTTTTTTCCCAGTCCGGCCCTGGTTACAGGTATATATGAAACTCAGTTATACAGGCTCTGTACAGGGTGTATACAGAGCCAGTTGACTAGTTAGCTCTAGGATTGATGTGCTTCACAGTATATACATATTCTGGTCCAGCTATGGAATCTCAGATGAGACTACTCTGGTATGAATTCACTGTCCATGGCATATGTTAAAAGCTAAGCAGACCTGGCTCTGGCTCAAACTGGTATGGGAGACCAGTCTATGCTGATACTATTCTATTTTTATCAGGTTCTATGGGGAGATTCATTGAGTTGACAATTGTTTAGTCCTACTCCTGAAAGAGACCATTGGTACATTACCCTTCAGGTGGTGTGATGATGATGATCTATAACAAGATAAGAATCTCAAACAGATCTGTATGTACATGTGCATACCAATTCACAGTGTAAGGAATGTATCGCTCAGTGTATCTTGATTTTATGGACACTATATAAGCAAGGAACAACTTCAGATTATACCCAATACAGCTGGAATACCACTATTTTGCCTGCTGGGCATTTAAGGACTGCCAGTCCCGGTTAAGGTTTATTCACACAGTATTACGCTGTCTAAAAGGGTTGATGTCTAGGGGTCCTAGGTCACAGGATACCCTGAGCATTTACAGATATTTAGGGGACTCTGCCCAAACTCAGGGGTCCCCAATAGTCATAATACGCAACCCAGGATTGGCCTGCTATGTCTGTGCCCCTTTGCTTGGCCTGCTCTGTCTGTGCCCCCTTGATTGGCCTGCTCTGTCTGTGCCCCATTGATTGGCCTGCTAGTTCTGTGCCCATTTAATTGGCCTACTATGTCTGTGCCCTTCTGTCTCGCCTGCTCTACCTGTGCCCATCGTTGGCCTGATCTATCTGTGCTCAAACCCCCTTTTGGCTGCAGGCCTGGGGGAATATCACTGAGGAAAACTCAGTACCCACTGTTGACATGGAGATAGGTGGGTGTCCAGGCAAACACTGCTGCCAAGTGCACCTAAATATGATTGGAAGGATGAAGGCCCTACAGCTCATGCCCTGAGTGGCAAAGCTTTTATGAAGATTCCCGGGCACGCAACCACGATTTACACCAGCCCGGCAGCGGCACATCTCCAAGGGGAATCTCGCACAAGCAGGGACCACTGCTCAGATGCCAACATGGGAGCACGGTTTCCTTGCCTTCAGCAACTAACCTTTTAGCTGCTGACCCTTTCAGTTGGGTTTACTTGACTTGTTTTTCCAATCTGCTATTTACCTTCTCTCCGAGGTACGTATTTCCCTTTATCTAAATTTTTTGTTAGTAGGTGAAATAAAGAGATCCAGTCCAAACATGTATACCCTGCATGATCAGGCAGCCCTCTATAACGAAATCGGTAGCACGGTCGTTAGATCTAATTGAATGCAGGAGGGACGCCCCTCTATGTTATACAGGTCTTCTTTGTTATACAGGTCCCAATCACCATTGGATCCAGACATCTTATCACTCTTAGACGATGATACATCTGGATGGAAATCTCAACCCCGGTTTACGTTCCCATTGTTTTGAATATTTCCGGGATTCACAATCCCCAGAATAGTCGACCACCGTTTCACCACACAAGTTCAGTTTGGGACCTTAATTGGAAGTCTTTTGAGAGTCTTTTCTCTACCCCAGCCGCAGATTACACAGTCCATTTGGAATACTGGAACCACTCTTGCCTGCATTATAAATTTATTCTCAGATGAGACAACTCACTGGGTAGGTCATGAGGGAACAAAAAGACCCTACTCAGTTCTATTACGGAATTGGGTGTGGACTTAGGCGCATTCTTTGAGGTTGGAGATTTGCCTGCAAGGCCACATCGCCTGGTGACCCTGGCATGATAGGAGGAGCCACCTTCCACATCAAGAGTCGAGACATGCTGGCAGTTTCTTCTCGCGGCCCTAAGTCCGCAAATGACCTTCGGCATTTTAAACCTACAGGAAAATGGCTAATAGGTCAGCTTGTCAGCTCATGGGCCGGCTGCTGGGAAACAGGTCGCAACCCCACGTACAATGGATCTATCAGCGGATGGTGTTTTTCCGTATTTGGTATGCTTCCTCAGCTGGCATCTTCATCGATCCGTCTACTGTCACTTCTTGCAGTTGGAAGTCCATTTAGGATTGCTCTAATATCTCACGGAATAGGTACCAGTGAAACAAACAGAGTTGGATTTGTTGGCTGAGCGTTAAAACAGCAAATATGAAGCCTCTTGTCATATTATAAAATTGTAGATTATGCTAGCTTTAGTGTACCTATAATCTTAATTTTATTAATGACAGGAGGCGAGTATTTCCCGCCCATTCTTATCCCTCCCTTGTTTAATTTTATAGTTTGAGTTCATCAGGTCTGCTTGCAACTCTGCTTGTTGTCTCTGCTACCTGTCACTTGTTCTTATGTTTGTTTTTCATAAGTCGGGTTGGGATCTATGCAGGTTACGGTAATGTTGGTTGCTACATTGAGTACCTACATGTTTGTTCAGAGTACATTTCATTGGCTAATCAACCTGTTCGATTCTGTTTTTTCTCTCGTTTCAGTTTACAGTCCATCAACGCTATCTGGTTTGGCAGTTCTTCTCGGAGGATGGGCATTGTTGTATTCATTATATCTAGGACTTCGTTTCTTCCCCATTATATTTTCTGCCTTTTGTTCTGTTTTGTCGCAGCTTGAAAGAGGAAATGATGCATGGGGAGGGGAGTTTTATAGTATCTAACGTTTTTCTGATTGGTTGTTTTTCTGTGCTGCTGTGGAGTTCTAGTAAAGAGAGACTTAAGCAAATACTCGCCTCCTGTCATTAATAAAATTAAGATTATAGGTACACTAAAGCTAGCATAATCTACAATTAATATATACTGAATCCTTGAAAGTTTCCATAGTGGGTTTAATTAAACTGTTGATGGAATGGATACGCACTGTTGTATGTGCATGAGTATTTATTAGAATCCCAGTGATTATTATGGCTGTTCCAGAACTCTACTTCATGTTGGAAATATTGGCGATGCACGGTATCTTTTTCATGTAAGTTAACTTGTGATAGTCTTTGTAAAACTATTGCACTAAACTGGTAAGTCAATTTTCGTCTGATTTTCATTATTTCTCCTGTCCGGCCATAATTCCTAAGGGCCCGGGCCATTTTTTGGTAAGTCATGATCTTACGGTTGCCTTTTTTTTTGCCCCATAATTCTGCCAGCTTCTCTTTGTTTTTAGAAACAAACTGGAAAACGCCATTTGGTTCATCCACCCACTGAATACAGCTCATCATGTCTGGATTATGCAGAGCTTCGAGAAGATATTCGAAAAGTCGCAGCTTCTTCCGTCCTGATGATAAAAAATGATACATATTAGTGTTTAATTTTGTGAGTAATTGCATCATTGCTCTATTGATAGTTCCTTGTTGACTCATTCCTGTAAACTCTAATGAACCACTAACTGGGGTGCATAGTACAGCAAAGGTAAGTACAAAAGGCCCACTTCTGTTTTCAGATTGACATTGCTATATGATAAACATGTACGCTCCGGCATCTACAGAATAATGTAGAATTTGTATTTTATTTTTTGCCTCCCAATCTTTAAGTATAAGTTGCATCTTTTGCTTATTTTAAATGTAAAAATGAAATTTTAAAATTAAATGTCATGAATTGCCAACACAGCATTTGTAGCATCCTAGCCAGGGCTAAAAAAAACCATATAATGACCGTTCACGGCTATCTTATATGATATATTAGAGAAGTATGCAGCATTAGTCCAAGCTTATTGATCAGCGCTGCGGAATATGTTCCCGCTTAATAAATGCCAGTAATAAATAAATAATTCATAAATAAAAATAAGATGGGTATCTTACTGAATCACTCGCATAAGCATTTCCCCTGGAACAATAAAGACTGCAGAACTCTGTAGTCAGAACCGCAAATTAAACACTATACCCTAAAATCACAGCTAAAGAATGCCATTACTTTTACTCCATGATATGATTGGTACAGAGAGACATTGGGAAACACAATACAGTAAAAACGGCCAACTTACACTTTCATGCATTTTCTTTACTTATTCATGAACTTGGTCCCATAAACTATATATATATCATTAAATGACCATTCCACATCCCAATGGCACTTCGGCAAGATGAAGTGCTTTATGGGTGAGGAGTGCCCTAGTTTAACCCCAGTTTATAAAAGTGCTGATTTCTGAAATCAGAACTTTTATAAATTAACTAGGAAACTCCCCTTGCCAGTGAAAGGGCCAAGGAAGATTCCTTCCTACTTCTGTTAGCTAACGGAAATGGCAGTCACGCGCTACTTGACAGACGTCAGACCAGCTGCTCAACAGCAGACGTGCGCACCCGTGCAAGAGCCAACACGTCCGTGCACGTGGGCACCATGTCAGAGGCTTCTCGATGAGAAGCCTCTGATTGGTTATTTCCCTATGAATAGACAGAAAGTTTATTCCGGGAAAAAAGAAGAGTGCTTGCTAAGAACTGCAGCCTTTGCAAGTTCTTTTAAGACATAGTGCTTCTCCTGGTTTAGCGACCTATTATCTTGCATAATCATTACTGAGGAAAATATTATTATCCATTGTTATTTTGGATTTTAAAAATACAATCTATTTAGTCCCTTGTACTAAAAATGTGACCTATTTCTCTCTTTGTTAATGAGTTGTGTTTTGTTTTTTAAATCTTATGTGTCACAATGTTTCTCTTTTTCACTTACCGTTTTTGTGTGAGACTTTCTTTGTGTGCGCAATGCACATGACATGTTCGTCTTGAGTAGTCTGGTTGCTCTGATATATACAATCTCCATATATATTTGGGGTGTTTATCTACAAAGAACAAGAGACATTATAGATGAATTCTAGTTAAAAGCATATTGTTTGATAAAGCTACTATAAGAGGTGCTTCCTGGGGAATTACATTGACATTCACTGTCTCCACCCTCTGCATGGAGACACTGAACTTTTCTTATAGAGATGCATTGATTCAATGCATCTCTATGAGTAGATGCTGTGTTTGGAATCTGCTGGCTCTGCCCCTGTTTTGCCTCCTTGACAGTCCAATCCTATGAGAAAGCATTGTGATTGGCTTGGAGAATCACTTCTGATGATGTCAGCCAAGCAGGCAGATCAGGGGCAGAGGCAGCAGCTTTAATGTTTTTTTCATCTGACCAGGATCTAGGCATGGCAGGGGATATAAGGTAACAAAAGAGGCTTTATTTAAGTATCAAAGAGAGGCCCATCAATCTATATTGACAGGTGTACCTCTACATTACAAATATAGGTTTGTTTTCCTAATATTGGAGTGCTAATTTCAAGTTAGGGTCTAGAATAAAGTCTCAAATTCTTACATATTTTCTTGAAAATGATGGACCAAATTGGGTGGAGCCACCATGTCATAGGGTACTATAATTAGGACCTGACTTATTTTGTAAGTTATTAAACTAATAATAAATAATAAATACTTAGCAGAGTGAAAATATAAAGGGATTTCCTTACCTGTTTTCATTAATGCTGTACCCCTCATACAATATGTCCCCCCACAAACACTGCACCACTCTCACACACACACTACATCCTTCACACACACACACTACATCCTTCACAAGCACAATGCACCTCCGTACACTCACTGCAACCTTCACACACACTGCACCCCTCACACACTGCACCCCTCACACACACACAGCCTTAGGGGTGTGCGAGCAGTGCAGCTACGCAGCTCGCACATGGCCGGCTACCTGGGTGGAGGATTTCATTATTCTCCACCTGTGATTAAATTTTTTTTTCCAGCATTGCGGTAGGGGTGGGACTAAACTTGCGGCAAAGGAGGGACTAAAATGATGGGGCGGGGCTGCAAGTGTCGGTTGCATGGGAAGCAGAAAGCAGTCCCTGCTTCCGCAGCAACCAGACCCCAGGAGCTGCACTGCCTTCACTCCTCCCAGACCATAAAGGACAGAGGTAACCATGTATGACTGTTTGTTTGTGAGTGTGTGTGAGTATGTGCAATTGTCTGCCTCTGTGTGTGTGGCTGTCTGCCTGTGTGCCTGTGTGTGTGTGTGGGGGGGGGGGCTATCTGCCTGTGTGTGTGTGTGTGTGTGGCTGTCTGCATGTGTGTGTGTGTGTGTGACTGTCTGCCTGTGTGTGTGTGTGTGTGTGTGACTGTCTGTATGTGTGGCTGTGTGTGTGCGTGACTGTCTGCCTGTGTTTGTGGCTGTCTTCCTGTGTGTGTGTTTGACTGTCTGCCTGTGTTTGTGGCTGTCTGCCTGTGTGTGTGTGTGTGTGACTCTGTGTGTGTGTGTGTGAGACTGTCTGCCTGTGTGTGTTACTGTGTGTTACTGTTTGCCTCTGTGTTTGTTACTGTGTGTATGTGTGGGGGTGTGTGACTGCCTGTGTGTGTGACTGCCTTTGTGTGTCTGTGACTGTCTGCATGTAACTGTGTGTATGTGTGTGTGAGCCTGTATGTGTGGCTGTATGTATGTGACTGTCTATATCTGTATGTGTTTGTCATTGACTTCCTGTAATTGTGTGTGTGACTGTCTGCCTGTAACGTTGTGTGTGTGTGTGTTACTGTCTGATTGTAATTGTGTGTGCGTGTGACTGTCTGCCTGTACCTGTGTGTGTGACTGTATGTAACTATGTGTTACTGTCTGCCTGTAACTGTGTGAGTGTATTTATCTGACTGTAAGTGTTTATGTGTGTAACTGCCTGTACCTGTGTGTTTCTGCCTGATCCTGTGTATTTGACAGTGTATATGTATAACTGTGTGCAGCTGACTGTGGGACTGTGTGCATGTGACTCTGCAGTCTGACACATCTGGCATGCACTTCTGTTGGCTGCAGACCATAAGTAGCTGTCTTCCTAGCTCCGGCCAATCAGAGCACTGCTGCAGATTACCACAGGACACTGCAAGTCGCTGAGCTTGCGAGACAGTTACACATGGTCTGCACCCAGTGGAGGGGTAGACCAGATTCAGATAAGCATGCCCCTCTCCCAACTAGGTAACAACAGGAAAGGAGGAATTAATCTTTGTTTTTAAATCATTATTAATTTAATAAATCCCCTATACAATCACTACACTCCTATACACACACACTATAAAAGGAATGCGAAGATTTTTTTGCACAGGGCGCCTAAGGGCCTATGCACACATACACATATTGCACCCCTACTGCCTCTATCCTCTACTACAGCCCCAATCCCAGCAAATCCCAGGTAAATTGTCAAACTGTTCTTAAACAGTTTGGCTACTTACTCTGGGAGGGCACTATTGACACCATAACCACTACAAAGTGTTGTAGTGGTTACTGTGTCTGGATTATGTTTCTTTAAATAATCTACCAGTGCCCTTCCCAAGATTAGGTTCTGGATCTGCGCTTGCACAGTAAGCATTTCTGATGAACAGGGGCCCAATATATGCAGCTGCGCTGTACATATATACAACCTAGACTAAGGGCACCTTGAAAAAATATTAAAATATTAACGGTACCTTGAACCTAAAGTTTGGGAACCACTGGGATAATTAATTCACATAACAGTCTATCTTTAATTTCTAGGCATGCTGATTTTGCTAGTCTGGGTCAATAGTCTCATTTATTTGTCAAAAAGGAAAATGTGTTCAGTTCTGTTACCTGTGATAAATTGGACTCTGATTTTATCTCCATCATTCCCCAAAGACCCTAAAATAGAAGAAAAAGTATGGTGTCTCTTTAAAGCATGAAGAAGAATAAGACCGAGTATATGAAGCCAAAACACAAACTGGTTTTTTTTTGTTTTTTTTAAGTAAAGTTTTAAAAGATAATACAGTGCCGTAATATAGCCATGTAGTAATGCTGTGGAAAGCAATAGTGTGAACTGTACTTATAACAGGTGCCTAAGAGCCAAGTGTGGCATGGTGTCTAGGTAAGCAGTATACTATATCCAATTTAGCTTGTGTATCTTGTACTGTAGTTAAACATTATTAAGCATCCTGAACATAATGCTAATGGATGCAGGAAACATGAAATGCACATGCTCATAAAATTTAAATAATAGTAGATATCCATAGGAGGCTTGACTGCAGCGTGGAACCAGGTAGCCTGAATCATTTTAGACAATTTCAGTTGGTACCATCTGGGAAGTGAGGCCAATAAAATAAAAAATAAAAAATAAATGACAGTAGGATACTATGTCACCCTCGGATGGATGATGCAGCGAAAGCAATGTCAAGGGATGTCTACCCAGGGCAAAGCATATCTACCCAGTGCAAAGTTTATGGCAAGGAGGGGCTATTTGTAGCGCCACCGCATAGGCCCCCCAGGTCGGTAGACCCCATCTGTCTCCCCTGGGCTGTCCTGATTCCACTGCAGAACATTCCATGGCATTGTAGGCACTCGGAGGCTAGGTCAGTCCTTTGTCCCCGCCCCCGACTAGAGTCCGCTGACCCCCTGTCCCCTGCACCTCCCCAACACCTCTGATGTCTCCGAGAGTGCATGCTCCTGTAAGTCTCTCCTTGCTCTGGCCTCACACTTGCGACAGGTGCGCAAAACCCACGGCCACCGGTACACTGGTAGGTCTGCATCGTCCAGTCTCACAGGGCTCTCAGTGCCAGGGACAATGCTCTCTGGGCATCCCCGAACCCAGAGATTGGAGCCTACACTCCCCCATGGGCCGGTCTCCTGAGGGATCCATCTGCTGGCCAGCCATCCCCAGGGGTCCAGCTCCTTTGCATAGCAGTGCTCATGTTGCCGCCATCCAGGGACATAAGTAGTCGATATTGGTCTCAGGGAAAGTCCTCAGTTTTACCCCAGAAAGGGTATGCGCAAATCCCCTTACTCCAGTGAACTAGCGGGCAGCGTACTGGCAGCCCTTGCCAGTTCAGGAGAGCAGGGAGCTCCCGTCCTGGTCTGTGCTTTCCCCATGCGCCCGCGATTACCCCCACCGCGGGGGGGAGAAGGAGGCCGTACCCCGAGCCAGTATGGCCCTCCACAGAGGTATTTATCTTATGGGAATCATTATTTTCTCCTTGGAGCAGAGCTGCGTGGATGTCGCTCATGTGCCGCTCATGTCCAAACTTGTAGTAAGTAGGCTGGGATATCGGTATCGGTGCTCCCTGCATGCAGTTGGCTGCTAACTGGCTCCAAATTGGAGCTAGGTTTATTATCCATGCTGTTATGGCTGTTAATCTGGCTTTGGAGCCCGGGCCCGGAGCCATGATGGTCTACTTCCAGTCAGCCCGGCGGCCCGGCCCCTCCCCCCCCTTCATATGTGTTTTCAAATTCTCTGGAATTCAAACTAAATTCTAAGTAAAATTTACATTTTAGATAAAACTGGAGAAATCTCCAGGTTAGATGGTTTCAGCTTTGCTTTTTTTGCCTCAAATTTGAAATTCACATTAAATCTTAGACAATATACATTTTAGTGAATAACTATGTCAATTTGTATTCTCTTTATTAATACATTCCTCCATAAGACATGTAGAATATTTATTAACTTACTGATGAATCTCTCCAGTTGTATCTTGGTGCTTCTACAGAAAGTGTGGTAAAGCAGCTGTCAGTCCCTACAGCTTGTGGATGATTATTAAAAAATGTGATGCTACTTTTGCACTCTGTTGATTTAAAATAAATATTAGAATAAATACAATTCATTCACATTGAAATTTTGGCAAACATCCACCCCCCAAATACATTGTCTATCACAGAGATACATAATAATAAGAAAGTATTTAACCAGGAAACGTACATTCAGATTGCTCTGGTTTTCAAGTACATCCTGCGGTTACTATTACCCAATTTAATGGTACACATTTTAACTACCTCAGAAGGATGAAGGGCTGAGCCAATGCTGTCAGGATTTGAACCTGCAACCCCTCCAAGGTAGGGTTGAACAGATTCCTATTGATATGGCATTAACACACTTATAGGTCAGTTCTGTTCTTATACTACCTAACCAGCATGCTCTGTGCATAAGATGTATAGAAAGCAGGAGAACCATCTGTATGGGTTTTTTTCTGCTCTCTCTTGTCAGTTATCTCTTCTGCAAAGAGTCCATGCTAGTGATTTGACTAACAGGTGGGAGAAAGACCTATTTTTAAATAGGTTTTTATCCCAGTCTATACATTTGCTAGCACCGTGTATAGATATAATTTTATATTATTTTACTATAGAATAAATGATTATAGGCATGAGTGGTTTTAAAAGCATGCATTTTTAATATATAAGAGGGACACTCTAAGCAGCCAAAGCAACTTCAGCTTAATTAAGTGTTTTACACACATAGATCATGCTCCTGCAATCTCACTGCTCATTTTTTTGCATTTAGGAATTAAATCACTTTGTGTAGCGCTAGACACACCTCCCCTGGCAGAAACTCACACAGCCTCTCCACACACTTCCTGAAAGAGGTCTACATTCTTCCCTTATTGCCCATTGTATTCAGTTTAGAATTTTGTGTCTCCTGCTTTGTTAAAAGAACACTCCACACAGAGAATGTACTTCAGCTTGCTTAAGTGCTTTATGTGTATGGAATTTGTCATATTTGTGATAGTGAATAAAATTGCCTGTTACATACCTCACCAAAGAGCAACAATTTAATTTTAGGGTTGTGAGTGGGCCAGGGCAGGGCTGTTCTGAAACGTTTTAGGCAGGGCAGTATTAACATAGGGGCTGATGGAGCTGCAGCTCCAGGCCCATGCCCAGGAAATAGGCCCAATAATTTATATTTTTTAAGTGTTTTTTTTTTATACACTCTAATCTTAGGGTTTCCACCTAGCTAGTATTTTACTGACACAGCCAGTAATTTGAGACTTCCTGGTCGGTGCCGATACTGCAATAATACTGGCAATAAAAATGCTGGTATTTTTCTCAGTATAAACAGAGATTACAATGCAATACCAGCACTGGCCAGTAGGGGTCGCTGTGTGTGTAAAGAGGCAGGGCTAAGAAGTTCCAGCATATCCCACCCTGCCTATCTCTACTCACTGATCTGCAGGGGAGTGGCTACAGAGAGTCCAGACAGCAACTCCCAGCCTGCAGAGACAGCCTACAGCTCAGGGAAGTGTGGGATGGGGGAAAGGCAGCAGAGAGACATGGGGAAACTGAGACACTAGGGGACACATGGGGACACTGAGACACTAGGGGACACTGGGAGATATGGGGATACTGAGACACTAAGGGACACTGGGAGACATTATAACACAGACATGTGGGAAAACAGAGACACTGGGAGACATGGGGAAACTGAGACACTAAGGACACAATGTCCTCATGTCTTCCAGTTTCCCAATGTCTAACAGACAGTGTCCCTGTGTCTCAGTGTCCCCTAGTCTCCCAGTGTCCATAGTGTCTCAGTGTCCCCATGTCTCCCAGTTTCCCTGGTGTCTCAGTCTCCCCAAGTGTCTCAGTGTCCCTAGTGTCTGTGTCCTCATGTCTCCTAGTGTCCCCATGTCTCTTAGTGCCCTAAATGTTTCAATGTCCCAATGTCATCCAGCCAGTATCCCTGGTGTCTCGGTGTTCCTATGTCTTCAAGTGTCCCTTAGTCCCCCAGTATCACCTAGTCTTCCAGTGTCCCTATGTGTCCCAGCCAGTGTCCCCTAGTCTCCCTAGTGTCTGTGTCCCCATGTGTCAGTGCCCCAAGTGTCTCAATGTCCACATTTCTCTCCGTGTCCCCAGGTCTCCCAATGTCCCCTGTCTCAGTGTCCCCATGCCTCTGTGTTCCTAGTGATGTGGGAACCCTGGGAGACATGGGGACACAGACATTAGGAGACACTGGGAGACATGGTAACAGACACTAGGGGACACTGAGAAACACGGGAATATTGGGGGACACTGGGCGACATGGAGACACAAGAGGACACTAGGAGACATGTGGCATTGAGACATTGTGATACATAGGGAAACTGTGATATATAGGGTCACTGGGAGACCTGGGGACATGACACTAGGGGATACTGAGAGACTAGGGGACACTGGGAGACCTGGAGCACTGAGACACTGTGATACATAGGGACATTGTGAGACCTGGTGTAATTGACACATGGGGACATTGAGTCATGAGGGCACTCGGAGACAAGGGGGCACTGGGAGACTAGGGGACACTGGACAACATAGGGACACTAGGAGTCATGGGGAAATTGATACGTAGGGACACTGAGACAGTGTGAGACTTGAGACACTGGGAGACAGGGAGACACTGGGAGCAATCCATCTATACCGCAGAAACAAACTGTAAGTAGTTTTTTGGTGATTTTGCAGCATTTTCTCTTATGTCACTCCTTGTGATTTACATCATGTGATGTCACCCATACATAAATAATTATGCAAATTATTAAGGTCGGTATGTTTTTCCAAGATAGGTGGCAACCTTAACTACTTTTTTTTTTTTTCCAATATAGTTTTTATTGGGTTTTTGTTTCATTGTTTACAAAAATTGAACAGTGGGTAATACGTAGTATCACAAGAATACAAAAGGTTGTGGATATAAGGTAACAATAGGTATAACATATAGCACGGTAACAAGTAATCAAGGAACATGTACAAGGGTTCCCGTACGGCTCCAAGTTTCATGGGGGAGTCTACACAGTTGCGGTGGTGCTTTATGTGCTCGTTCAATGAGCGTCCTATACAACAGTTATGTGCTTATCGTAGGTTTCTAATCTGAGAATTGTCACGGGTTGGGGGTGTCTGTCCGTTCGTCACACAGCTCTTATTGTTTGTTGTCGTATAACGCTACCCAGGAGGCTCAGGTCGTGTGAAATCTTTGTGTTGTTTTTGCGTCAGGAGCGGTCATGCGCTCGTACGTGTAATATTGCTGTATTTTATCCCATAATGTGGCTTTGGTAGGACAGAGTGTGGATTTCCAGTTGCAGGCTATCAAATTACGAGCTGTCAGGATAGTGATTGCACTCAGTTGTTTGTGTGCATATTTAAATGATGGGGGGAAACGCATAAGTAGGAATAGTTCGGGCTGGTGTCCTCTGTGTGGGACATTAAGGGCATTTAGAGTGTTTTGAACTTCTACCCAGAGGGGTTGTATGTTGGGACATGACCACCATATGTGCGTATGTGTGCCTATCTCCGCTGAGCATCTCCAGCAGAGAGGAGACGTATTGGGGTAAATTTTATGGAGAGTGTAGGGAGTTAAGTGCCATCTGTACAGTAATTTCCTATGTGCTTCTATATGGGTGTAGCACTTAGTCCATTTAGATATGGCGTTCAATGCATGAATCCATTCGTCATCTGTGAGTTGGATAGTGCATTCTGTTTCCCACATTGCTTTGCAATGTGGTGCTGCGTTGGGCAAGGTACTGTCCCATGTCTTATAACAGAGGGAAATACTGTTCTTCTTCATAGGGCCTTTCCAGCATCTTTCTATTACTGCCTTTGATGGAAGGGGGCTCTGTTCAGGGGATTGTTGTTGCTTGTTTACATGTGTGTTGATGATCCCTTTTAGTTGTAAGTATGTGAAAATAGCGTTTGTTGGCAATTCCCATTTCGTTTGTATGTCTGTGAAGGGTAATATTTCTTGCGATTGCATTATCTGGTGAATATGTCTAATGCCTGCATGTACCCAAGTCTGTAGACGCATGTCTGGTGATATGGCTCTTAAGGCGGTTAGAGGTGCGTTGGGGTGGAATTTTTCTTTGGCCCCTACTGTATCTAGGAATTTAGACCAAATGTGGACGGTCAGTGTTGTGGTGGGGTATAGGTTTGGTTTGACTGGTCTATGTTTTTTCGGTGTCCATAGGTAGTCGAGCATTACGTTTTTGTCCAGTTGGGCTTTTTCCATGTCTACCCATTGGATGATACCTTGATTTGAGTGCAACAGTATGCCCGATGCCAGCATCGTGGCTTTGTAGTACTGGTTTAGGTTGGGTAGCCCTACTCCTCCTTTTGTAGGATGTTTGTAGAGTAAGGTGCGGGATATGCGCGGTTTCTTGTTCCCCCATATGAATGAGCTGCAGATGTTTTGTAGGGAGTTGAGGAGTGTTTGTGGGGCTTGGATGGGAAGCATTCTAAATATGTAGAGAAGTTTGGGCAGTAACATCATCTTGTATGCGTTAATTTTTCCTAGCCAGGAGATATGCGTCTGAGACCATTTTTGAAGGTCTCTTTTGCATTGTTGGGGAAGCGTGAGGTAATTTAGTTTCAGGATTTCTTCTATTGTTGGTGCTATTTTTACGCCTAGGTATGTTAGTGATGTCTTCCTCCAGTCAAAAGGGTAGTTATCTTTCAGTATTGTTTTGGTGGCTAGTGTGAGTCCGACGGGAAGGGCCTGGGTTTTATCTTGATTCAGGCGGTAATGCGATATGTCGCCGAATGTTTTCAGGGTTTCCATGAGGGGAGGCAAAGACTGCTGGGGGTCCCCTAGCGTTATCAGGATATCGTCGGCGAATAGTGCCAATTTATATTCCTGTTCTTGAATTGTGATTCCTTTTATGCAAGGGTCTGTGCGAATTTTTTGGGCCAATGGTTCTAGCGATAGGATGTATAGGAGGGGGGACAGGGGGCAGCCCTGACGTGTTCCGTTAGTGATCGTGAATTGGTTAGATAGGAAGCCACCGTGTGCTACTTTAGCTGCTGGTGATGCGTAGAGTGCCATGATTCCCTTGATGAATTCAGCTGGGAATCCATATTTGGAGAGCACTTGTTGCATATATGTCCAGTTGAGTCGGTCGAAGGCCTTCTCCGCATCTAGTGCTAGGAGGAGGCCCCCGACCGACCCCCTACCCATTGAGGTTAATATGTTGAGGGTTTTCCGGGTGTTGTCCGATCCCTGTCTCCCCCCCACAAACCCCGATTGATCGTTGTGTATCAGTTGTGCAATTATCTGGGCCAGTCTGTTGCTCAATATCTTTGCATATAGCTTGGCGTCACTGTTTAGTAGAGATATTGGCCTAAAGTTTTTGCAGATATTCGGGGGTTTCCCTGGCTTGGGAAGTGTGGAAATGTGGGCTAGCAGCATTTCTCAGGGTAGCGTTCCCGTGTCATTACAGTGTTGGTATACGTTTAAGAGGTGTGGTGTAATGTGTTGGGAGAATATTTTATAATATCTGTTCGGAAGACCATCTGGTCCTGGTGCTTTGTTAACCGGTAGGTCTGTTATGGCTTTAGCTAGTTCTTCGGCGGATATCGGTTGTTTGAGTTTGTGGATGTCGTCTTGTGTAAGTGATGGTAAAGTAATGTTTGCCAGAAAGGCGTCAATGGTAGTCACGGAGGGTATTTGCACTGTTTCGTCCTCTTTTAGATTATACAGTTTGTGGTAATAGTTGGCAAATTCGTTTACAATTTGTTTCGGATCTAGAATTTTTGAACCATTGTTGTCAATAAGGGAGGCAATCCTGGATGCGACCGATTTTTGTTTGAGTTGTGCAGCCAGTTTTGCTCCGACTTTGTTACCATAAGTAAAGTATTTGTGTTTGGATTTTTGTAGTAAGTAAGTGGTTTTGGCCAGTTCATAGTCTCTTAGTTGTGACTGGGCTTTCAGTAAGGCTGCTTGTGTAGAGGGTGTTTGAGATTGCTTATTTTTATGTGTAAGTGCTGTTATCACTTCTATTAATTGTATATATTGGGCTTGGCGTGTTTTTTTTGCTTGGCTTGCGTGTTTAATGAAGCTGCCCCTTATCACAGCCTTATGGGCTAGCCATAAGTATTCTGGCGTAGTACCCGATCTTGTGTTTTCAGTAAAATAGTTTTGTAGATCTGTGGTAATCTGTGAGATTATTACTGGGTCGTTAAGCAGAGATTCATTGAGTCTCCAGGTTGATCTGCCGGTAGACGGGAATTGCTCAGTTAGAGTTATGGTGATGGGGGCATGGTCCGACCAGGAGATAACCCCAATATCTGTGTTTATTAGTCTTGTTAGAGACGTGGCCTTTATGAGGAATCTATCGATTCTAGAATAGCTGTTGTGTGCAGCTGTATAGCAGGTATAATCTATGTCTGCCGGGTGTGATATTCTCCATGGGTCTATAAAGTTGTGTGTCGTTAGTGTGTGACATATTTGGGATGTTTGTTTGCGGTGTTGTGTTAGTGTTTTGGAGGTTACCCTTTTGGAGGAGGATGAGTCCATATTTGCATCCAGGAGAAAGTTAGTGTCGCCTCCAAGAATTGCCTCCCCAAAGCTGTACCTTGACAAGAGACAAAACATATCATCTATGAATACAGGTTGACTTTCATTTGGGCTATATACATTCATCAAAGTATATGGTTGGTTGTTGAGACGGCATTGTAATATCAGATATCTGCCCTTTTTATCACTGATTTTGCGAATAAGTTCAAAGACAACTGATCTATGAATTAGGATCGAAACTCCTCTTTTTTTTATGGTAACAAGTGTGGTAATCTACAGGGAACCATGGGGAGTTAAATCTGGGCGTAGATCCCCATTTAAAATGGGTTTCTTGAAAGAAGGCCACTTGTGCCCCATGTCTTTTGGCCTCTTGGAGGGCTAGTCTGCGTTTGTTGGGTGTATTGAGACCCTTGACGTTAAGAGAGAAGAATTTAAGTGGCATATTGCTTGGTTTTATGGTGGTATACGGGTAGACACTTATGTACCTTCTCCAGTAATGGAGTTTTTTTTTTGGCGTTAGGGTTTGTTACCGAGACTATGGGAGGGGACTTTTTTTTTTTTTTAGGTACAGGGATAGGGTTGGGGTTAAACTATGTACACTTGCCCGTTAGCCTCGAGGGCCTGATGCAACAGTGTGCAGACGGGTATTTAATGGCTCACTAGTGGGCCGTCATTGGGGGTCAGTGGAAGTTTGGTAGGAACTAAATTGGTATTTCCAAAGTGGAATATGTAATTAGATTTGCAGTCTTAACCTTGAATTCTAAACAATATCAATTATAACAATCGAAGAATGAGCAGTGTGGATTTTCCGCCAGCAGTGGGCCTATGCGAGGTGGCCACTTGTGCGGTATCTTTTTTTTTTTTTTAAATTGCATAGTGTAAACCAGTCATGTAATCAGACAACATCATTAGTACGAGCTGTTAGCAATACAACATTTTTAAGTGCAATAAGTTACGTGTCCCGGAGCATGGTGGAGCGATGGTCACGGTTGGTAGTTTCTGCGGCCTTGTGGGGTATTGGTGATCCATGGAAGTTGTTGCCAGTCTCTCGCCATTTTCCGTGGCGGTGGTGCGTCGGACTTTTGTTTTCCATTCTGTGGAGCAGGGATGGGGATGTTCCAGTCTTCCAGAATCTGCATTCCGTCTTCAGGCGTGAGGATTGTGCGGTCTGCTCCATTTCGTTTGACGAGTAGTTTAGTAGGGAAGCCCCATTTGTATAGGATATTGGCGTTTCTGAGGGCTGTTGTAATCGGTGTAAAGGAGCGTCGTTTGGTCATCGTGGCTGCTGATAGGTCAATAAATAGTTTGATATCTGTGTATTCTTCTGGTAGAGATGGATTGAGTCTTGACGTTTGCATTATTTGGTCTTTGACCATAAAATAGTGGAGTCTGGTTATGACGTCCCTTGGTATAGTAGTGGGTAGGTGCCGTGGTTTGGGCAGCCTATGGGTCCTGTCCAGGCGGAGGTCTGCCTCTGTCATGGATGGGATTAGAGATTTGAACAATTTTTGTACATAGTGTGTAAGGTCCTGTGGGTTGACGTTCTCAGGTATACCACGGATCCTTATGTTATTTCGTCTGTCCCTATCTTCATTATCTGCTATTTTTCCTTCCAGATATTTAACTTTGTTTTCCAGGGCTGTGTGTGCATCTGCTAGCTCATTGTGAGCAGTTAGGATACCCTCCGTTTTTTCTTCTAGATGGGCTGTTCTGTCCCCTATTGCCTGTATGTCAGCTTTAATGTCTGCAGCTATGTGCTGGAGATCTGAAAACAGGGCTGATTTTAATTTATCCAGCATGGTACTCACTGAGGCATTTGTGGTAGGGATGGAGGCTTCACTGCTTTGGTAGTTCTGTGAGTCTTCTCATTCTGCCTCGTGTGTGGGTGAGCCATGCGGTCCGACGCCATCTTGGTCTCCTGAGTGCTCCGGCTGTTGCGAGCTCAGATGTGAGTCGATCGTTTTTTGTTTTAATTTTTTTGAGGATTTGGTCGCCATTATGCTCGGGGAGAGGTTGGTGGTGAGATGGGCTGAGTTTGGTGGCAATTTCGCTGCGATACACGCTGTGGGGCCCACTATCCCGGCGGAGCTCTCCTTCTATGCGTCTGCTTCCATGCGGTCCATGGCCACGCCCCAACCTTAACTACTTTTCACATACTCTTGCTTAAGTATGGAAACTTAAGAGGGATCTATGGGAACAAAACTTGTGTGGACTGGCTGACAATGAAATTAGTTAACGTAATGCTGACTTTGGTCTCTCTAACACTTTGGCATGTTCCCTTTCTTCTACACTCACTACATACACCTTTTCTCTGTCCCAGACTGTATAACAGGAGCTTCTGCCTGCTAGTAAGAAGGTTAGGAGACAAGTGGACCAGCGAGGGCTAGGCGACAGTCCTTAGAAAGCGTTGAGCGAGCGCATCATTAAACTCATTTATGTCAAGCTCAGGATGCTGTCTGCGTAGTATGTCCTTAGTTGGCCAGCTTGCATAATTGGATTGCAAGTTGTTAT